CAGTAAGTGTGATTTGCTACCGAATTTTGTGTTCGCTGAAACACTGGGGTTTGAAGTACCACTACACCAGTGTGTAATTCGTTTATCCTAGAAGGAAATAATCTATAACCTTGGGTACTAGGAGAGGATTAAATTCCTTAAGGAAACATTGTGAATTCAGTGGGCTCGAATTAATTTTTGTTTTGTTTATATTTCTGTTTATGTTGTTTTATCTTTTCCGGAATTAGTTTACAAATATAGTTTACTAACATAAACTTCTAGCAGAACCTTAATACATATCAAGTCGGTGTTTGCTGCAACATCTTCAGAACAATAACAGATGCAATAGCAGAATAACATTTGCATAAGAACAACGCATACAGAAGAACAAATTGAAGACAAAGGGCTCAATAATTCCCAGGAATAATACCTCATAGCGGCAAACCAATTCAGGGAGAAAGTTACGTCGAAGTGCGTCTCTTGTTCGACAATCCACTCTATGCCATGCAGCAACACCGCAACCTTATCATTATCCACGCAATTTGTTCGCTTCGATGTTTTTCCTTCAAGAGCATCCATTATGGTAGCCTAACCAAATAATAGCATATAGAAGACCATAAGAAAATTTTGCAACATCACAAGTCAAATTAAATTCCAAGAAAGAGCGTCACTACGTTGAATTAAGTAAAAATGCAAACTTTTGAAACAGAGGGGTGAAGACGTACTACATCAAGAGTTAATCATGAATTTCATATAGTAAAATATTAATCAATAATAAACTGTACTTTAATAAGTAGTTCATTTAACTATGAAGTAACGACAGACCTTTCATATCGCTAAATTGTCCTAAGGAAATCATTCGCCTAGAAAACCAAAGGAAAGAATGCATATCAAAAAAGAAGGGGGTGAAAATACATAGCGTCGAAAGAAGTCATAGTTTTTAATATAAACACCACTCGAAGTAAATGTTGCCAGGTTTTTAGGAAGTAAATACACTTCATGAGAACAGGAAAACATAATAACCTCCTTATCCATGTCTATATTCCTGAATTTGTCCCACTTCTCCACATTAAATATTTAATTGTTCTGATCAATTCCATCCGAAACTTCTATCTTTCTTAGCAATTACTATTAGTTACTATTCCGTGGTTATAATTAGCTCCTACTCCTTTGTTAGTTAACCACTTAAAATATGGCATGATCATTGTTCTTCTTCAACAAATATTTATTCTATTTTTCTCTTATTCTCCTTTACTGATTAGCTAGATTTTGTATTTAAAGTTTTGTTGTTTTTGTATGCTCTAAAACATAGAGGTAGGCATATTTAGTTCGGGGAAATTATTTTACATTGCTAAAATTATTTTCTTAAAATAGTGTCTAGCATAACTCAAGCCAATTCATATTTTTTTTTTGGTACAAGGATGAAATTTTCATTCATTAAGTAATATGATTACATAAGGAAGAAGTTCTATGTGGATCTTCAGCAGTTAGGCCAGTAGGCTATTAGTACTAGGATAACAATTAGCATTAAGATTCCCAAGCTCAGCCAAGCTATTAAGTACATTCGTAGAAGCAAGTCTAGAACTAGTAGATCCATTTTTATCTTTATGGAGCAGCTTCAAAAAGGTAACAAGAGGATAGGACAAGGTTGTTAAAAGGTTGTTTCTTGCTTGCTTGGATCTTTCAGTATCCAATGAGCAACTTTATTTCCTTCACATAAGTTATGCCGGATCAGCGGATTCCCCAGTCTCTTAAGTAATGACCTGCACTTATTAATAAGGTTAGTATAAAGGAAGCAATTGTTGCGGCCAAGTAAGTGGAGTACTTCCGTGGCATCAGTTTGAATTTTCAAACTATGAAAATTGTTATCACAAGCTAATTGTAGGTCAGTTTTTAGGGCAAGTACCTCCATGTAAGCAGAAGTGTAACCAAATGCTGAACTATGGTAGCCCAGAATCCAATCCGATCCCCCTGAAAGTTTCGAAAGATTCCACCAATACTCCCTTATTTATTATTTTTAAAGACACCACAATGTTGATCTTAAGAGATGTTGCAGTGGGAGGGTGCCACTTGATTGTGATGCGGGAAGTGGAAGGAGTGTAGCGTGAAGAGTTGGAACAATGTTTATATTCCATGCAATGCATAACTAATTAAGTCAAAGTTGATCGCAGAGATTATTAAAGATCTCGTTGTTTCTATTTAGCCAAAGATGCCAAATAGCAAATGGGAAGAAGTCATGCAATGAAATGTCCAAGTGATCAATATTAATGTTGGTCATTTTAGGCATAGGCAGTGGTCAGAGTAGAGATCAAACAATAGAATGTTGGGATGCACTTTATTCCAAAAAAAAAAATTGTTGTTAGGCATTCAAAGGAACTATGAGTAATAGTCTCTTTCTCTCCTTTGCAAATTGAACAGGTAGTGTCTATATTCATGCCAATATGGTGAAAGTAGTGTTGGAGGCAGTCGACTATGGGAGCATTGTCAGAGAAAGAAATTGACTTTATTAAGAGTATTTAGAGTTCAAATCAAATAAAAATTATAACTATTAGGAGGTGGAGGGGGAGATTAGCTTGTAGACAAATTTGGTATAGAAGACTCCATAAGGAGTAAGTGGCCATACTGGAATATCTCTAGAGTGATTGATGCTAGTGCGGCTTATGGGATGAATCATATTGATAATGAATCATGTTGTTCTCCCATCAATAGATAGGAAATTCATTTTCAGTTAACTATTTTAGAATTCATGTTATCAATGATAAAATGAAGATCAGAAGTTTTTGGTCTGTGAGTGAGGATAGGAAAGCCTAAGTATTTTCCAAAATTATCACTAATCTTAATATTAAGGATATTCGCGAGCTGATTTTTGGTTGGTGTGTCACAGTTCTTTGAAAGATAATCTTGGATTTGGTAATGTTGATCTTTTAACTTGAAATATGGGAGAAACATAGGAGGCACTATTTAATTTATGAACTAATTTTAAATTGGCATTTGCCGATAGAGTTAAGTCATCCACGTAGAATAGGTGAGAAAATAAAGGACCAGTAGGATTAAGCTTGATTGGATCCCAAAGGCCTATGTTAACTTGGTGGCAGATGTATTTGGAGAGTAGTTCCATACAAATAATGAAGAGATAAGGTGACATCGGATCACCTTGCCTAATGCGCCTAGATGGGTAAAAAATAGTTGGTTTTGGATCCATTAACCAAGATTGCAATTCTTGAAGTACTGATATAACTCATGATAAGTTTGGTGATTCGTGGAGGGAATTTAAAGCATAGAAGGGCTTTATAGATGAAGGACCGCTCGAGTCTATCAAATACCTTTTCAAGATCAATCATTAAGAAAACTTTACCCTAGCGTCCTTTAGCCTTTTGAAAGTGGTAAATAATCTCTTGGATAATTATGACATTATTACTTGCCCGTCTGCTTTTGAGAAAGCTAGATTGATAAGGGCCAATTAGTTTACCAAGGAAGGGATTAAACCTGCTGACAATAATTTTGGTAATAACCTTATAGATAGTGTTATAAAGTTCTATAGGGCGAAAATTATTAAAATTGTTTGCATTATGAAATTTTGGTATGAGACAGATATAGGTCGAGTTGAGAATTTCGAAACGAAAAGGTTGTGAAAGATATCGTGGCAAAATGTTAAAACAAAATCATTGACTACATGTAAAAGGCTTAAAGAAAAAAATCGCGTGGACAATTTCAAAATCTTGTAGAGGTCAGTCAAGTTATGTGAGATCAATATTGTCAAAACAAGTGGGAGAATCTAGAATATTTTTCCAAGGGGTTTCTATGTTGTCAGTTTTGAAAGCTTTTCAAAAAAAATTCTGATGTACGATTTAAAATTTGAGTTGGATACTTGGATCATTAATCCAGTTACCATCATTGTCTTTGAACAAAGATATACTATTATTTCTTCTTCAATTTACTATATTTAGGTGGAAGAATTTATTATTAGCATCACCGTCGTTAAGCCAATTAATACGAGAGCAAATTTTCCAGTAGTACTCCTCAATTTTCAAAAAGTTATTATAGTCATTAATAAGATCGTTTTCCAACAAGTAGAGAAATGGCTAGTAGGATAGTGGGGAGGATTGAATTTCATTGATTCTAGCAAGAATTTTTTTCTTTTTCCTATTAGTGTCACCAAAGGTTGCCTTGGCCCATTCCAGAGCATTATGTTGGAAGCACGTAGTGGCTTCAAGCAGTTGTTTCCAATTTCAAGAATTTTTAACAATACTATCAAATTCATGGTGCTAGCTCCGGAATATTTCAAGCCTAAAAAGGTTTTTTCTAGGCAGAGGTTAGGCTTGGTAAAGCTAAGAAGTAAGGGAGTATAGTCTAAGTGTGTTCTAGGAAGGTGGGTGATGGAGGTATCAAGGTTTTGGCCCAACCAAAAGGTTTTAGCGAGGCGCTGGTCTAGTATTTCCAATATTAGGCCGTTAGAGTTAACCCTATGGTTGGTTAAAACATATTTGTATGGGTTAAAAATTATCTCTAATATGATCAAACTGTGTTAACATTAAGGAGGTATTCACAGACTGCCATGTGTCACCAATACGACTTCTCGAAGTGTTTCTAGAAATGAAGAAGGTCGCGGTCGAAGAGTCAGCAAGGATCAAAGTCGAGAAGTGGTCGTGGATCAAGGTCGAGGCCGAGCATCCTATACAGAGTTATAATGGCTAGTTTCAGGATAGGAAACTAAAGAGAATATTCTAGTGGATATTCTCTGCACTTGTAGTATTAGGGTTTCTAGGAATATTGTAACAATCCTCAAATCTATAAAAGTTTCAAGACACACTAAATATAGAATTTAATTTCTCCCCTTAAATATACTTCTATTACGGATTTAAACCCTTGTAAGTGATTTTCAGTTACATCTATATTTATAAATAAGTGGCTATACAATTAGGGAATATTAATAATTTTAATATTATTAATTATTAAAAGTGGGTATCATTAATTATTAGTTAAGTTATAAAATAAAAAAATAAACCAAAACAGAACAAAAAAAAAAAGGGCAAAATAACCAAAGCCCTTAAGCCCATAAAAGGGCTGTTGAAAAGCGTAAGGCAGGCTTAAAGACTTAAGCCTTCGAACGAAAAAGAAATGCCAAGCAGACTTCTGCGTATAAGAAATAGACGCACGTCCCCGCGAAAATACTCACGCAAGCAAGGAAAATTCTAGGCTTCTTATCAATCACTAATTCTTGAACTCAGGTACATAGAATTTTCTATTCTCAATTATCCTAAAGTAGTAGTAGAAAGAATAGAATAGTTAATTTCCTTCTTCCTCTATATCAACAATAGATTTCATGTTTAGGTGTGAAACTTTAAAATTGATTAAAATGCACTGGTTGTTGTAGAATCGATTATTTGACTGGTGTCAATTGGACCGGGGTCTACGTATTGGCTCGAGAAGTTTTCAGGTGAGTTGATAGAACCCTTTACTAAAGTGGTTTAACTCACAAAAGCACGCATACAAAGTGTTTGAAGAATTGCTTAAAAGAGTTTATATTTACTTAATTGGAGCGAGTGAGTACTTATTAACTTAGAATTGTTCTAGCAAAAGTTCAGACGATTTATTACGATATACGTGCACAAATTTTTAAATTTTTGTGTTATTCTTATATGCTATTTTCATGTTGAAAATTATGAAGAAGCAAGAATCTTTCGAAATACTTTTACATGTTTATTTCATTCTTATGTCATGCTTTACATTTAAGGATACCAACATGAGCATGTACATGATGTTCTATAAAGAAAAGATCTAGAATTGAAAAGTCACAAGAAGGAGTTTTACAAAGAAAAGATTTTTGGGAGTATCCTTTATTCTGAAAAGGGGTCATCGTCCAGGCCGAGGGTCCTGACCAAGGCGTTGGCTTCTTGAAACTACTTGTGCCAAAGTATGGAGCACACGAGTCAAGAGTCTCGTTGCTGAGAATTTACTTAGCCATGCTAAGGTATGATACATGAGCGCTGAGAACCATGAAGCGAGTGGCACCTCGTGGATTGGGCCTATTCGATCAAGTTGGGATCGAACATGTGCCGATCACACGGTGACTGAAATAGAATTAAGTCAGTATAGTTGGAACTTCCAAAGTATAAAGTGAAGTATTTTTTTTATAAGAAATAAAAAAAAGAACTTCTTTTAGAATATTCATAAACTGCTATTATGCAATTATTTTAGAATTATGCTTATAAGCTTTATGTTTTACATGCATTTAGAACAGTTGCTCGTAATGTATATGTTATTAAAGTTTCGCCCCCTGTTGTTGAGCATCACTGAGTACAATGAATGGTACTGACGTTCTCTTATGGGAACCTACGTTGGTCTGCGGTACAACGTAGGAACCAGTTTTGCAGGCGAGCGGGCTACTGGTTAGGACTTTCTTCTCTTCCAGTGCTATTGGTGAGCTCCGCTTTTGTTCATGGAGTATTCCTTAGAATCATCTTTATTTAGTTATTTCTTTGTTTACTTAGAGAACTGGCCAGGAAATCTCATGTCCTGAGCAGTGCGTCAATTTATCAGTAGAGGCTTCATAGACATAGTCGTTGGGTTAAGATTCAGATGTTTTGATAATAACTTAGCAGTAATTCAGTAGTTACTACGAATAAAGTTTTGGAGTTGATTTATTTAAATATTTAAATTAATCAAAAGTATTTAGTTAGAGTATTGCCTTGTTGCATATAAAGTTTGGAGTTATAATAGAATTGATAAGCAGAGATGGTTCGCTCGGTCATGTTTTGTGATCGAGTATCGGTCCCGGCTTGTTCAGAAAATGGGTCGTGACAAACTTGGTATCAGAGCCTCAGGTTTATGGAGTTCTAGGGGACTATGAAGTTGTGTCTAGTAGAGTCTTATTTATGGGTATGTCTTGCACCATTGCATGACATATTAGGAAAATTTCCTTTCTTTGAATCTTAGATCGTGCGTTAAAGCTTAAAGTGAGAATTTAGTTCCCACTTCTGCTAATCTCATGAATGATTGGTATACTCGATGTGATTACAGAATGCAAGGTTCAATACACGAGTAATAACCTCAGTTGCTTGAGGTATAGTTAAGTTAAGGAGATGTCCACTATACCTCAAAATGAGAACTATATTAAAGACATGCGGCCAAGAAAGAGGTTATCGTAATCCTTATATTTTCAGTTAAATGAAAAGGGAAAGTTGTAGAGGAATATGAGTTGACGACATCATCGAATATTGAAATTAAGAATTGTACCAGGACTCTGGAGGAGTTGATAACAGTGAAAGTAATGTGGAAATGTTGAAAAAAAAACATACCACAAGTTAAAGTTCTAGTTAAGTGTTATTTGCAATGCCATGGGTAGTCACTATGACGGTACCATGGAATGGATTAAATAAGAGAGACCAGTAAATGAAAAGGTTAAGAGCCAACTAGGAAGGTTCGTATCTCAAGTTTCTACTTTGGAACCCCTAGAATGGATAAGGTTTAATTGGTCAAGGATATGCAAAATAGCCAATGTGCAACAGGCACCATCGAATAGATTTGTACCTACTACTGTCTTCCTCACATAGTTAAGGTGATGAAAATATGGGAAAGAGGTTGAGATCTAAATAGTCGAGGGTCGTTTCTTCCTCTAGTGAGATATGAGAGGTGATATCTCCACTTTCGTATGAGACAATGTTGTATGGTTACCTTGGTATGAGAATAAAAAGTTAGTATAAAGTGATCCTATTCTATTTCAAGTAAGTTAAGTGGTTAATGGTTCTTGAGTGATGAGGTATAAAGAAGCATAGGAAATATCTTTCTTGCAAGTATTAGTGGAGTGTAAAAGAATATTAAAAGACAAGCAATTTTGCTTGAGATGAGTATTTCCTACTAGCTCTTTAATATAAGTAGCTTCCGATGACTTAAAAGGAACTCTAAAGCTCAGTTGGATTCATACCCTCGCATTAACTTGTTAATTCAAAAGGTAATTACAGAAAGTTAGAGTAACCTCCTTTTCTAGTTTAACCAAGCTTATGGAGATCAAGAACTAAAAAATAAAAATAAAAAATAAAAAACTGGTAATCTTGCAGGAGAAGTTTTGTTAATCTAAGATAAGCTTCATTTTGTGAAGTTGACTATTCTATTCATCGATTAAGACATATATAATGATTTTACCCATTTAAGAAAAAGAGAAGAAGTGAAGTTTATCAAAGGATGGATTAAAGCGCGCGGATCAAAATTATCAACAGTCTTATACAAATAAAAAGGCATTGAAAACATGATTCTACAGCAAGAAACCTTGTGTTTTTGAAATTAACTCTAGGAAAGGGTGTCGGGAAACTTAGGAATAAAGGAAAATCTAGCTTGAGCGAGGTTTATTGGGCCATATGAAATTATTAGAGATATGAGGAAGTAGCATAACTTGCCTGCTCTCAGAGTTGCCTTTCGTACATCCAGTCTTTTATATCTCCATATTGAGGAAGTATGTGTACGACTCAAGTCATGTAATTCCTTCTCAAAATGTACAAGTTGATGAGACGCTATCCTATGAAGAGGTTCCAGTTGTTATACTTGATAAACACGTTCAGATTACAAATTAGAAATGTTGCTTCAGTAAAGGTATCATAGAGAAATCATTCGACTAAAGAAACCTGAACAAACTATGGAGATTGGCTTCATTCCACCGGTATATAATTTATTTATTCTTCTGAGTGATGGAATGCAGCTAGGTGCATATATGTTCAAAATGGTGAGATGATAACATCTGATATTGTATAGTGGAAGTATCATGTTATTCTTCTAGATTGAGTAGTTGGATGTGCAACTGTTTTTATTGCGTAGTAATGACAGGTTGAAATTTTGACTTAATAGAAGCAGCGGTGGAAACTCTATCGAAATTTTTAATAATTTAACAAGTTAGTCAAATGTTGGGGTCTTAAGAGAAAGGTGAAAACGGAACAGACCTAAATCACTCATATACTCAACGATATCTGTGACACAACATTCGAGGACGAATGTTCCTAAGCGAGGAAGAATGTAAAGTCCCGTAAGTTTCAAGGCTTAAAATTTGAGCACCGCTTTCCATCCATAGACCGATGACCAGGTAGAAAGGTCCATTTAGACTCCCGAAGATATGTTGCGAGCATCTGTTATAGACTTTGGAGGTAATTGGGATGATCACTTGCCACTTATAGAATTTACTTACAATAATAGCTATCAGGCTAGCATTGGTATGACTCCTTATGAAGCGTTATATGGCGGAGATGTAGGTCTGCAATGGGTTGGTTTGAACCAGCAGAGGTACCGTTGATTGATCCAGAGTTTGTTTGTTAGGCCTTAGAGAAAGTTCAGCTAATCAGAGAAAGACTGAAAGCGACTCAGAGTCGTCAAAAGTCTTATTTTGATAAGAGACATCGTGAGTTAGATTTCATGGTTGGTGATAAGGTATTTTTGAAAGTTTCACCAATGAAAGGAGTTATGAGGTTTGGTAAGAAAGGGAAACTTAGCCCCAGATTTATCGGACCTTATGAAGTTCTAGAAAAGAAAGGAAATGTGGCTTATGAGCTAACGCTAGCCATTGAGTTGTCCTCTGTTCATCTTGTCTTTCATGTGTCTATGCTTAAAAAGTACATCCATGATGAGTTGCATATAATACCTACCGATACCATAGAAATTAAGGAACGACTGACTTATGAAGAGGTACCTATAGAAATTCTCAATAGGCAAGTAATAAAGTTGAGAACAAAAGATATAACATCGGTAAAAGTTTTGTGGAGTAATCATGATTCAAAAGAGGCTACGTGGGAGGTTGAGGAAGATATGGGGAACAGAAATATCCATATTTATTTGAGACAAAAGGTATACGAACCTAGGTTTGGATTGACATTTATATGTTAGCATGTGTTTATGTCCTTGCTAGATTATACTTAGTTGTGGAAGTAATTTAGTTTTATCAGAGTATATTTAGTTATTTAATAATTTAGTGTCATGCTATAGTACATTTAACTCCTTAAAGTGATTTATTTTTGCTAAAGTATTGTGCTTTAGATTCTTGTTGATTATTGTGGTACCTCCTTGTCGGAGTGTGAGTAATTAATTTATGAGTTGTATATGGTGCCTAAGAATAGCCTGTTATGGTATATTTGGTTGTTGTTGGTGTAGTTGTGGTATTTATGACAGGGATATTTTTTTGGATAGTCCATTTTACAAGGGATACTCTGTCGAAATTTTTGAAAATTTAGGGAGTTAGCCAAAATTTTGAGTCCATTAGAAGTGTGAGTAGTGCTAAGAAACCTTAAGAGGTTTAAGGACTTAAGGAATGATTGTTAGCTTAAGAATAAAGTCCTAGCAACATTCGAGAACGAATGTTTTTAAGGAGGGAAGATTGTAACACTCCTCAAATCTATAAAAGTTTCAAGACACGTTAAATATAGAATTTAATTTCTCCCCTCAAATTATACTTCTATTACGAATTTAAATCCTTGTGAGTGATTTTGAGTTACACCTATATTTATAAATAAGTGGCTATACAATTAGGGAATATTAATAATTTTAATATTATTAATTATTAAAAGTGGGTATCATTAATTATTAGTTAAGTTATAACAAAAATAAACCAAAACAAAACAAAAAAAGGGACAAAATAAACAAAGCCCTTAAGCCCATAAAAGGGCTATTGAAAAGCGTAAGGCAGGCTTAAAGCCTTAAGCCTTTGAACGAAAAAGAAATTCCAAGCAGATTTCTGCGTATAAGAAACAAACGCACGTCCTAGCGAAAATACTCACGCAAGCAAGGAAATTCTAGGGTTCTTATCAATCACTAATTCTTGAACTCAGGTACATAGAATTTCCTTTTCTCAATTATCCTAAAGTAGTAGTAGGTAAGAATAGAATAGTTAATTTCCTTCTTCCTCTATATCAACAATAAATTTCATGTTTAGGTGTGAAACTTTAAAATTGATTAAAATGCACTGGTTGTTATAGAGTCGATTGTTTGACTGGTATTAATTGGACCAGAGTCTACGTTGGCTCGAGAAGTTTTGAGGTGAGTTGATATAACCCTTTACTAAAGTGGTTTAATTCACAAAAACACGCATACAAGGTGTTTGATGAATTGCTTAAAAGAGTTTATATTTTGTTAATTGGAGCAAGTGAGTACCTATTAACTTAGAATTGTTCTAGCAAAAGTTTAGACGATTTATTACGATATGCGTGTATAAATTTTTAAATTTTTATGTTATTCTTATATGCTATTTTCATGTTGAAAATTATGAAGAAGCAAGAATCTTTTGAAATACTTTTACATGTTTATTTCATTCTTATGGCATACTTTATATTTAAGGATATCAGCATGAGCATGTACATGATGTTCTATAAATAAAAGATCTAGACTTGAAAAGTCACAAGAAGGAGTTTTAGAAAGAAAAGATTTTTGGGAATATCCTTTATTCTGAGAAGGGGTCATCGTCCAGGCCGAGGGTCCTGACCAAGGCATTGACTTCCTGAAACTACTTGTGCCAAAGTAGGGAGCACAAGAGCCGAGGGTCTAGATGCTGAGAATTTACTTAGTCATGCTAAAGTATGATACATGAGCGCTGAGAACCATGAAGCGAGTGGCACCTCGTGGATTGGGCCTATTCTATTAGGTTGGGATCAAACCTGTGCCGATCACACGGTGACTGAAACAGAATTAAGTCTGGATAGTTGGAATTCCCAAAGTATAAAGTGAAATATTTTTTTTATAAGAAAGAAAAAGAAAAGAATTTCTTTTAGAATATTCATAAACTGCTATTATGCAATTATTTTAGAATTATTCTTATAAGCTTTATGTTTTACATGCATTTAGAACTTTTGCTCATAATGTATATGTTATTAAAGTTTCTCCCCCTGTTGTTGAGACTCACTGAGTACAATGGATGGTACTGACGTTCTCTTTTGGGAACCTACGTTGGTCTGCGGTACAACGTAGGAACCGGATTTGCAGGCGAGCAGGCTACGAGTTAGGACTTCCTTCTCTTCCAGTGCTATTGGTGAGCTCCGCTTTTGTTCGTGGAGTATTCCTTAGAGTCATCTTTATTTAGTTATTTCTTTGTTTACTTAGAGAACTGGCCAGGAAATCTCATGTCCTGAGCAGTGCGTCAGTTTATCAGTAGAGGCTTCATAGACATAGTCGTTGGGTTAAGATTCAGATGTTTTAATAATAACTTAGCAGTAATTCAGTAGTTACTACGAATAAAGTATTGGAGTTGATTTATTTAAATATTTAAATTAATCAAAAGTATTTGGTTAGAGCATTGCCTTGTTGTATATAAAGTTTGGAGTTATAATAGATTTGATAAGCAGAGGTGGTTCGCTCGGTCATGTTTAGTGATCGAGTGTCGGTCCCGATTTGTTTAGAAAATGGGTCGTGACAAATATCTTCCCTATAAATAGAAAGAAACACAATAATAGGGGACATGAGATATTCATTTGTAAAAAAACACATTGACTTTATAGAGAAAAACTTTTCATATTATAAGCATACAAAAACAACCTTTTTAGTAAGATTCTTGTGTAGCTTTTCCTTATGATCCAAGAACAACATGAGTATTCAAAGGCTCATCAATCATTCATCATTGTTAGAAAGAATATCCACAGATCTCACCCCTTTTCAGGTAACTCATATATTTTTATTTAATTAAATGTCATTCATTGCTACTTATTATTATTTAATGCGATCTTCCATCTTTTTGGATCATTGAATATTGTTATTATTGCTTACGTTCATTACCACTTGGTCACATATACAGATTATCTGTCACAAAACCGATAACATTATCTTTTGGAGATTATTATTAGCTAAGATTGACTCTTCTTTATTTAAATTTAATTTTGGCGCCGTCTATAGGGACTTCTTAGTTAATTATTTAGTTTCCTCTATATCTACAACTAGTGTGAGTCAATAACCTAACAAACCCCAAGATCTTTCTCTTTCTTTGCATGTACGGAAAACTACATGGTTGGTCGCCAAGGAGAGAGGACTAAAGTGATCGGTGATTTACTTAGCAACCTCATGAACGCTATCAATGAAAGCTGTGAAACATTAGGCAATGATGTGACACCCACTTCCTCCTCGGGCGCGAGGGGTTGCCTCCCCCCATTGAGCATAACAAAGCCAAATGGAAAAGGAGCCTCCACTTCCATAGGAGAAGAGACGACACATGCCATGGAAAGGCTCCTCGAAGCGTGGTTGACCGATACGCTAGTAAGCACACTCAACTAGCCCACTCCATGCATGACTACAGGGTCTGCAATAGCCCACACAAGGCAACAAACAGACGAACAGAGCGACCAACCAGACCCTCCAACACTAGGTATAACTCACAATGTTACTAACAATGCAGGTGATAGCGTCCTCGCCGTTGTTCTAAAGAGGATGGAAGAAATGAAGAATGAAAATAAAGTGCTCAGAGTTCAATGGAAGAATACCAAGAAGTGAAGACAAAACCAAATGGAAAAGGATCCTCCACGTCTATAGGAGAAGGGACGACACCGTCTATGAAGAGGCTTCTCGAAGCGTGGTTGACCAATACGCTAGTAAGAACACTCACCTAGCCCACTCCATGCATGACTATAGGGACCGCAATAAGCCCACATAGTGCAACAAGCAGACGAACAGAGCGACCAACCAGACCCTCCAATACCAGGTATAACTCACAATATTACTAACAATGCAGGTGACAACGTCCTCGCCGCTGTTCTAAAGAGGATGAAAGAAATGGAGAATGAAAATAAAGCGCTCAGAGATCATATGGAAGAATACCAAGAAGGGACGACAAAACCAAATGGAAAAGGATCCTCCACGTTCATAGGAGAAGGGACGACACTGGCCATGAAAAGGCTCCTCGAAGCATGATTGACCGATACGCTAGAAAGCACGCTCAACTCACCTACTCTATGCAAGACTACAGGGACCGCAAAGAGCCCACACAATGCAACAAGAAGACAAACAGAGCGACCAACCAGACCCTCCAACACCAGGAATAACTCACAATGTTACTAACAATGCAGGTGACAGCGTCCTTGATCACAGCAGACTCAACCTAAGGATGAATGGGCGTTAATACCTTTACCCAATAGCGATATCGGGGTCGATTTTCCACTGGGAACTTCAAATTGGAGTTGAGTATTTGTATGGTCTAGGATTGTGTTTTAGCTCATAATTGATCTTCTAACATTTTTGGTTTTCTTTTGTTTAAGAGCTACAATTTATCAACTACAGTTGTAAAACTAGGTTATGCTAAAATTACGATTCTAAATTGTATGCAAGATAGATAAAAGCACTAGGGATACAACATTTACCTAGGTGGTCCACTAACGGGTAGAAATTCCTAATGCCAGAATGACACATATGGGGCTTATGCTATAACCGTTGCACCTTTTACATCCACTCTCACACCTCTCGGTAGAGAGAGTGATTTTGCCCAATTGACTCTCTCGAGACCAATCGGGTAGGCTAATTTGCCCAAGCAACTTATGGTTCAAGTTGGGTAATTACTCTCTCGAGGTCTAACCCGTTAATTGGGACTACCATTCTCATGGGTCCATCCCGATTCCTTGTTGGAGTTAATCTTGAGGTCATAGACTCTCTTTCTCAAGGAGAGTCAAGACCCACTAAGCTAGACTTAGTGTTTGCAACCACCAAATCTTAGTGAAAACTTAAGATTAATCCAAATAGAAAACACCCACATCATTCATGCACTAAACAATCACACCCATCAATTTCCCACACTAGGGTTGAGCCACAACCCTAGCTAATGGGTTTAGCTAGACATAGTAGTAACAAAAATCAAAGAAATAATAGATGAAATTGACATAATAGTTAACTACAATGTTAATCTACTTGATTCCTCTTTAAAACTAGAAGAAATGGCCCAAAATAGGCTGATAATAGGGTAACACGAGTTCAGCTGCTCTCTACTCTCGAACCGCCTTTCTCAAAAACTCTGTGCTAAAAAGTAAAATGTTCTATTTATACTTCATAGGAAAAATAGGACAAAAATACCCCTGAGGGTCTGGCGCGGACCGCGCACAAATGAAGCGCGACCGCGTAGGGCTCTGGGTCTTCATTACTTGCATTTGGTACTGGGGGGCGCGGACCGCACAAAAGTGACGTGCGGCCGCATGAACTTTATCCACGCGGACCGCACTGATTAGGTACGCGGTCGCATGAGCTTTTGTCTCGAGTGATTGCTTCTCTGATTCTCTTAGGTGCGGACCGCACAAAAAGGGATGCGGACCGCGTTAGAACTAGGTGCGGACCGCGCGAGAAGAGGCGCGGACCGCGCAGCTTATCTTAAAAATATCATGGCCTCT